TTTACAGCCAAGATGGTAAAATGTGACTTCAGTAAAATGAACATAAAATGTTGTGGCTCCCAAAGTAGTTTGAGTTTGGTTAAAAGGACAAAATGGCTTTTCTCAACATTGTTAGTACAATTAAAATCCCTCCAAATGTGCAGTAAAGCACTTACAGTGAACAAGCCAGTTTGGCCACACCAGCTTCCTGCTCTGTCACTCATTTATCTGCCTAAAATGAGAGCTGCTGGTCACGTGACCAGCTCAAGGCTGATGATCTGAAGAGAGGATGGCTGTTTGCTGGCAGCCCGGATGACTATTTATCCCAGGATGCGTCCAGCCAACAGGAAGCCATCTGGGCCAGAGTTGGCCCAAGGCCACAAGAGCTTAAGAAACAACTGGACATTCAGCCCTGGGGTAACAAGACTGAACCACAACAATTCCTCATCTGGCGTTGTGAAGTACTGACATTCTCCTCTGAGGCGTTAAGCAGGAACATGGTAGCTTGTGCAGTTGATGGTACGCATGCTCCTCTGCTTTATACAGCAGCAAGACTGGTCTACTCCAGCGCTCAGGGCAGCAGACCACCCGATAGAGCAGGGGTGTCAAACTCAACCACTAAAAGGGTCATATTAAAAAATCTAAACAAATCTGTGGACCAGCTGTTTTATCTTTATTTAACATTTTGACCCCAACTGGCCATTGTTTATTCAATATATGCCAAAACTATAACGGCAAAATAGGCACTGAATACTTCATCAGTTCAAAAATAATTTTAAATAAAAATTATTTATATAAATTAATAGACTACATCAGCTGCAGATCACCGTCAAACCTCTTTAAATGCCCCCAGAGTACAGTAGGTACAGTTGGTGACCGTTTGCTGGAACTGGATCGATCAACAGATCGTTGTTGGGGAGGGAGTGGGAGCACACATTATGTTGCAGTGCATGCTGGGAACTGTAGTGCAGCTCATGGGCTAATATTTCCATCTAACGTTTCCATCACATGCTGGCCTCTCCAAAGAAAATCATAAACACTGATTGATTTAAAATACAACGACTTAACAAATGTTAACAAGTCTGTCAAATCAAACGTCCGACACTTATTTATAACTGTATACAACTCAGTTTGATTCGTCCTTCACACAACTTCACAACCATTTCCTTTTCTGAAAATAGACGTGGCTTAGGGAAGTGGTGGTGAACAGTCAGGTGACCCATCCTCCTCTGAAGGTAGTGGAGGTGCTGATAATGATCACCCCTGAGTTTCCGTTGTCCATGGTGCCGCGCTGGAGACGTTCCAGTAAGAGCACAAACTGGGCACGCTCCAGAGGATTCGCTAAACTCAGCACACACTGGAGGAACATCATAACAAGCCACCCGATTCACAGTGACACACACACACACACACACACACCTTAAAGCTATGATTCATTTGTGATTCACTCAACACGTGGCTGGCGGTGCAAGCATGATGGATCCTGAACTTAAAGGGGAATCACACCAAATTTTCAAAACTTCTGCATAATTCTGTTGTTAAGATGTAAACAGTGTTAACTGTAGAGAAACTTACTGACTCTTTACAGTGGTGTTGATAGGAACCAGGGGTTGTGATGACTACAACACAAATACAGCCATTATACTTACTATCCAAAAGCACCAGTGAAACTTATTTAAGTGTTATATGCAACATTGACGATGGAAAATTAGCGGTAAATCCGAAAATAATAAGTCTGTGACAACACCTCATCATGAATTTTCATGATCAATAAACAATATCGGACATCAGGCGACGTATTCATAACTATTTGGTGTGGAGGGAGCTTTTAGACGCATTAAACTTCATCTTAACTACTTCTAAAATCCCTGGGATTCCTGTTTAATGTGACGCAACGATGCTGGAATGTCTGGAATGTCTACAAAATCTCAGACGACAATATGGAAAAGGCTTCATCTTGAAATGACACTGACAGCATCCATATCGATCAATATTAATCAGCATGCCCTGCACAGGTCCACTCAGCACCTCTTCCAGCACAGACTGAGGGAAACACACGGGACGTGTTCCAATACCAGTGCGAATACTAATCACACACCACACAGCCGCAGCCCCGGTTCACCACACGCTTACAAATTTCCATCACAAGTATCCGTCACATTAGCACCTCTGTATTAACCCGCTCGTCTGCCCTGCTGAGAGACCATTAGCCCCCTGCGGTGACCGGCCAAATTGAGAATGGGTGCCTGGGTGTGTGTCAGACACTGTATGCGCATGTGTGTGCACGAGTTTCGGCTGCCCAGATGGTGCCGACAGCCGCGGAGTGATGAAGACAGGATATAAACGAAATTAGTCGCGCTGCCTCCGTCCTTATTCCTCCATCTGGAGCCCCTCCCAGCACATGGTAATCTACATACAGGACAGTATGCAGTAAAGCATTCACTGCTTATAGAGTCCATACAGATTTCAGCTCAGCATTAACATCTCAATTTCAATTTGATCTATTTTTTGATGCGGCAAAAGTGAGGAGTGGCTGAAAATGTGTCTTATGTTAATAGATATCTGTTTTCAGATCATGAGAGCATACAACGTTACCAAAGTTCAACATCTGAAACAAAAGTGGAACTTTATGGTGTCCTAATCAGAGGACTAAACAGTCCCGCTCCCACCAGATTTCATCCCGCTCGCTCCCGCAGAACACCGGAATCATTTGTCCCGCTCCCGCCTGCGGCCGAAACGTTTTGGCTCGATCCCACCCGCGCAGTTCCGTCAAGGCAGACTGACATCCAAAGTCTGACATAGCATATTTACAAATACATTATCCTCTGCTGAAATAACAGCAGTCATGGTCATCAGGCTCACTGTGAAGTAACTTCAAAACGCCATTTATTCACAGTAAACAGAAACACTGAAAATTAGCCCTGCGCTGCACGATACTGTGCAGACGTCTAGTCCCAATCTAGCGCTCAAGTCACAGGCTAATAGGCATATATATATGTGTGTGTGTGTGTGTGTGTGTGTGTGTGTGTGTGTGTGTGTGTAGTTTATACATATATTTCTCTATAATATATTGCAGATGTCGCTGTAGTCGGAAGAAAACCTCATATCTCCAAAATGGTAACTTTACAGGAGAAGGAAAAAACATACTCTACTTTTAATGCGAGTCAATGGAACCAGACATTTTTCAAAGTCATTTTGGGCCGTTTCTATTAGTCCATTCATCATGAAATTTACATACATTGTAAAGGAGAACATGTATTTTCAAATTAAGCCTAAAACTGAAAAAAATGGAGATACCAGGTTTTGTTCCGACAGCAGTGATATGTATGTACACTCAAAGCCTAAGGGAGGTTACTATTGTCCTTATAACAACAATAATAATCGCTGTACATTATGATAATTATATTATTATAATTAGTCCTGGCATAATTTCCAATGCCAATAGTCAGTCAATCACCACTGGAAATATTTTTTGTCTAAAATTATGCCCAATCTGAGAGAAAAAAAATCTAAAACATATTGCAGATGTAAATGTAGAGGGAAAAAAAAAACCTCCTCTGCTACTGAAATCTGTACTACTACCACCACCATACAATATCATCATCATCATCATCATCATCATCATCATCAGTACGGTGAGAATATACTGTAGATTAAAGCACTGACCGCTTATAGAGTTCATACAAATTTCAGTTTGGCATTAACACAACATATTAAACAAAATTATAAATAAATATAGAGTGAAAGCCTGTGGAAGGAAAATAAACCTCTGGAGCTCTGACTTAACAGTATACCCATAGAATAATACCATCATCCTATTTAGCATGGTGAGAACAGCAGGGCTAAGCATTCACTGCTTATGGAGTTCATATACATTGTTTAACAGCAGTCAGTGCATTAAATATAAATAAACAAAGGCATGAAACCTATATGACAATGCACCTCTGAAGCTCTGAGTGACTACTAAGCACATAAAATATCAGTATGGTGTGAATATACTGTAAATTAAAGCGTTCACTGCTTATATCATTTTGGCCTTAACATAATGCATTAAATAAAACCTCCTCTATATATTGCTGATACACAGGTAGACTCAAAGTCCATGGGAGGAAAATAAACCCCTGGAGCTTTGAGCTGCTACTATATCCATACAATATCATCAGAGGGTCAGTGTGGTCAGAATACATAGTGGAATAAAGCATTCACTGCTTAGTCCTTATAGATTTCAGTTTAGCATTAACATACGTTAAATGTTAATAAAGAAGCATGAAACCTCTGAAATATACTGTAGATATGAATATAGATTGAAAACATGGAGAAAAAAAATATGGTGGAATCCATACAGATTTCAATTTAGCATTAATATAAGTCCAGATCCTTATTAAACATATAAATATATATTTAGCTTTGACTATGAAGCTTTGAGTTACTACTATTGACCATAGGACAGGAACAGCATCTATATGGTGAATATATACAGCTGGACGATGCATTCACTGCTTATAGAGTCTATATGGATTTCAATTTAGCATAAATATGTTATTTATTACTAAAGAGGCATGAATTCATCTCAGAAACATAGCTACTGCAGAAAGCCCAAGTCCAGATCCTTATAAAAACAGCTATATATTAAGCTTTGAGCTGACCATATAACATGAATAGCATCTATATATGGTGAAAATATATAGCTGGATGAAGCATTCACTGCTTATAGAGTCTATATGGACTTTGACTTAGTATTAAACATGGTAAATATATTAAATGCTACTTAAGAGAGGCATGAAATCTGATCAGAGGTGGAACATATTCAAAATACATGGTTGAAAAATCATACGAGCTCAGCCAAAACAGTGCCGCACCTCAGTTATCGGTCTTAAATAGCCTGTCTGAAAAAAACCCAAAGCATCCACCCCAAAAACACAGCTTTGTTGCTTTGGTGAGTCACACCCATCGTCCACCCTGTAGCCGGTTTTCACCCAAACCCACCAGATTCAAGCATAAACCACAGAGATCAGACTTACGTTGCATCTTCCGAGCCTTTTCCTGGTTGATCTTTGGAGTTTCAGCGAATTAAAGCCACAGATTCGTCTTTTTTTTCCGTCGTTTTTCCGTCTCTCTCAGCGGAAGCTGGTGCAGAGCACAGGATTTGCCGGCAGCCTCCCGCCTGCTTTACAACTGAGGAACATCATTCACTTTCAAACTCAGAGCCCTCCCCTCCTCCAGGAAGGCCACACCCTCCTCCGCCTCCTGCCTTCAACCCCCCCCTTAACCGGACACCAACACTCTGCGCGATCTGACTGGCTGAGAGCTCTCACACCACAAGACTCATCACCCATATATGGTCACGCCAGCCCATTGAAGGCTGTGAAGGCACAGATGCATTATAGATATGGTGCTGCGGGGTTACTGTAGGGCAAAGGCAGAGCGGATCACGCCGCATCAGGAGAGGCTGCGGCGGCCAGCGCAGCTGCTCTGACATCAGCGTAAAGAAGGCCCACGGTGTCCTCATGGCCACGTGTACTTACATACACAGTCACCACATCTGAGTCCCACGACTGACCTACATTCCACAGTGATTAAAGCAACAGTTTTGCAAATTACTGTGTAATTAAACTGGTAAAGTCACACAAAGAGGTTTGATCTTATATATCTAGAACGGCTCACAGTGGTGGTGATGGGAACCAGACATCGGAAAGGTTTAAAAGGTACCTCGCAGAAAGCCACCACATGAAATGTGCTCGAGGTGTCTTCTGAGATGTTGTGGAAAGATAAATGCCAGATTTAGCAAGATAAATTAGTGCCTAAAGAAATTTTACCATCATCAACATTACATAAACACTCAGAAGGCACGTGTAGGTTCACTGGTGCTTCGGGATAGTAAATAAAGTGGCTATATTTGTGCTGTAGTCATCACAACTCCTGGTTTCTATCAGCACCATGTAAAGAAGTTAGCAGGTTTCTACACCGGTCAGGCATAACATTATGACCACCTCCTTGTTTCTACGCTCATTGTCCACTTTATCAGCTTCACTTACTATATAGGTGCACTTTGTAGTTCTACAGTTACAGACTGTAGTCCATCTGTTTCTCTGCATACTTTGTTAGCCCCCTTTTACCCTGTTCTTCAGTGGTCAGGACCCCCATGGACCCTCACAGAGCAGGTACTATTTGGGTGGTGGATCATTCTCAGCACTGCAGTAACACTGACGTGATGGTGGTGTGTTAGTGTGTGTTGTGCTGGTCTGAGTGGATCAGACACAGCAGTGCTGCTGGAGTTTTTAAACACCTCAGTGTCACTGCTGGACTGAGAATATCCAGCCAACAGCGTCCTGTGACCACTGATGAAGGACTAGAGGATGACCAACACAAACTGTGCAGCAGCAGAAGAGCTATCGTCTCTGACTCTACATCTACAAGGTGGGCTGACAAGGTAGGAGTGTCTAATAGAGTGGACAGTGAGTGGACACAGTGTTTAAATGCTCCAGCAGCACTGCTGTGTCTGGTCCACTCAGACCAGCACAACACACACTAACACACCACCATCGCGTCAGTGTTACTGCAGTGCTGAGAATGATCCACCACTGTGAAAATGTCTAAATAGTCTATTGTAATATTCTATTTCTTCCAAATCGACACCCCTATTTATACCCTACCATTTCGCATAGCCTAAATCGTCACTCGCTTCAAAGTTACTGTTGTTGCATCGAGTTATGAATAATCACAAATAGACTGATGTGGTTTCTGACACTGTATGACATTCTGTTACCTACAGCTATTTACTTATAGTAGCTATAACCATCTAAAGCCCGAACTTTCCCCATATCGTTGTCTATTTTAATATTTTCTTATTACCGACGCAGTTTGACGTGACTGTGTGATGATTTAGGTTTGCAGTTTCCACAAATTAGATCCATTTTCAATGAGATTAAACTTCTATTACTTGTTAGCTACATCACCTCACCTCACAGCTCCACTGCAAAACCTGAGACACCAAACACGTCTTGGCTGATCGGCTGCATTCCTGAAAGTAACCCAGCAGAAATGAACTGTTTTTTTTCCTACACTCTCAGAAAAATGGTAGTAAACTGTCACTGGGTCAGTGCTCCTCTTGTCACTGGGTTGGAACCCTCAAGGGTTCATCTCAGTGTCTTTAGTCAGGGAACATAACTGAACCATAATCCACTGAAATGATATTTTCTAAGCTGTACTGACTCCACACACCCCGTCTCGTCTCCAGGCTTTTATTTTACTGTTCTGTTTTAAAACATTCGGTTATGAAAAGGTACAAATACGAACTTTTCACCTGGAAAAACTTATTTAAGGTTCACAATCAGACCTTAAAACCACTGTTGGAGCTTTGAGGGAACATTTACACTGTTTGTTCCTTGATGAATGAAAAATGTACCTGAACAGAACCTTTATTTCTAACAGTGTGTGATGCTGATCCAGATAGATTTCTACAATTTCCACAACTCTATATTAATGTTTATGTATCAGCATTGGGAGAAATGTACATGAAAAATATCAGATATTGGCATCGGCCCACGACTCCCATACTGGTGCGTGATTATAATTCTTTTTACTTATACAAGACATCTGAAACACTTAGATCCATTTTTATAGGATGCGTTGATTTGGGGATTCCTTATAAAGCACACTATATCCAGCTATTTTCACCAACATATCAACCTGAGAAATCAAAGACCACCAGATTATGGAAAATGCATAACTGTTTGTATGTACAACTGTATATACTGGCTATTTCAATGTACACTATATGCACAGTAGGTATGCATATTTCAATTACACCTGAGTCACTACACATGGTACTGAGCAAAAGCTGCTACTGCACTGCATTTTATTTGCATTTTTCCTATTGCATATTTAAGCAACAGAACCCGAGAGGGAGTGCATTATTATGAAATAACATCACGGCTGTGATTTGGTCGCCGTAGATCATCACAGCCGTGATGTTATTGGTGATAACACACTCCTCGAGTGTTCTATTGCTTTTATACAGCAGTTAAATAAATAAAGTAATAAATTAATAAACTGGGCCGTGAACGCGGCGTTTAATATGTTTTAATGTTCGCAGTTCCTTCACCAAATTATAGTTCCTTAACGAGCAGCTTGTTGCTACGTCAGAGTAACGAGCTCCGCCCACTCGCTGCACAGCCGGCAGTTCGTTCTCCAGCTCCACACAGACCAACTGACAGTTTGGGAATCTAGTGTAGCCTCATCTTCAGAGTCTGACCAAATCGGCTGTCGGTCAAATGTGATCTTAAAAGTATCCATTTTCTGTTTGTGGCCAAGTAAGAAGTAAAAACGTTCAAACGGCTTGAGCGCCTCCTACAGCTGTCCAAGTCATACAGTCACAAACACACAGACTTTACAACACAAAAATATATCAATTAAAACAATTAAGCATTCAGATGTTCGATATTTACGACTATTATGTTATGATCTAGTTAAACCCAAGGCACTGACAGAGATAGTAATAAGCTAAATATATACAAAATATCATTTATAGTGTGCTTTCTATTGGGAGGGGTCTGTCCCAAACCATAACCCCTAAATTTACACTTAATACTTACATTTTTAAAGATCTTTTTATTTTATATTTAGATGTAAAGTTTGAAGACTAGATTTATCAAAAATGAAATAATAAAAAAAAACACCCTTATAAGAAGTTTTAGTCTGTAGACGGAGCCTTATTTTAGCCACACCCCTGCATTTTACAGTAGGAAGCGATGCTGCATCCCTGTCCCTCATGGCCACAGGTGAACAGTTAGACCCCATTGTTTTGAAGTAAATGTGTCATGAAGTCTGAAAATCAGTGTGGAACATTCTGAATTGTCACTACCGAAACACGTATTTTCTGCAATTATTGTGTTTTACCTGAAAAATCTGATGATTTTGCGTGTACAGCTGTTCAAAGCTGCGTTTGCTAGTCATGTACTGGCTAGTGTTTTTGAGTTCTGCTCAAAATAAGCTAAAATTGTCACTCACGAAACATTTGATCAACGTTCCGGTTGTGTTATGACTGTTTTGTTAGTGATAAAGTGGAACGATCAATAAAAAACACAGAAGAGAATCCACAAGTTTCAGGATGCTGGATGCTACAAGCAGCTCCAATGTGCTGATTAAGTACACAATCAAATCCAGAGGCTGAATCAAAGCCTCACGTTAGTGTTGGCAGAGCCTTCGCTTGCTGACTCAGGGGGAATTACTGCAGCCCTGACAGCTCAATCCTGAATTTCCAGTTGAAATACATGAAAGTAAATGTATCTCATCAGCGCACAGCAGAAGACAAGCCTGACCTCTTTCTTTGGCGCCTGCTCATCTCATCTATCGGCATGCAAAACAGGGGCTTACGCTACAGCCTGATGGAAACCACGGTGCTTTTTTTGACCTACTTTGCACGTGGGTTCGCCTGCAGCCCCAACACCTGCGTGTAGAAGATCATGCGAGTGTGCAAAAGGAGCTTCTGACCCCAGAAGTCAGTTTAAACTTCTGACAGGAGTCTGACAGAATCCGACTTCGGCAACACGTTGACTATTTATCTGACTGACATAACAATAAACCATTTAATGTGTAGCTTATGAGTAACTTCTTGGCAGTAAGGCTACGTTCACATTACCAGGTTGAAGCGGCATAAATCAGATTTTTTGCCCTAATGTGACTCAGATCTGGTGTTTTCAGAACTGTGTGGACACAAATCTGATCTTTTTGAATCCAACCTGAGCCACTTTCAAATGTGATCCTTGATTCGTGGCCATGCGACCTTAATGTGACGCTCAGATTGGAATTCATGTGCTTTTTCTCCACTGCGTCATTCAGCGTTACCATGGCAACAGCGCCGAACAGACGTTAAAGCCTGTAAACGGTGGAAAAGCAGCTCATCTCACCTTTTTCTCCTTCGTCTCGCTCTAATAATGAAGCTGAGAGCTGATCAGAGTTAATTATCTTCTCAGCGAAGCTCGTTCTGCTCGTTAGTTTGTGCTGATGATGCACGTGATTCATTCACGTGACGTTACTGAGTAGGATGAGCTCACGAGGGTCAGTTCAGGACGCCGGTTCGTTCACATTAATGACAGATTTGAGTCATTTACCTAAACGAGTGTGAACCATCGAGTCAGAGAGATCGGATTTGAGCAAAAAATCAGATTTGAGCAACGAGGCTTGTAATGTGAACGTAGCCTAAATGTCCACCATGCAAATTCATT